TGATGGTGGTGATGATGGTGATGATGGTGATGGTGGTGATGGTGATGGCGATGGTGATGATGATGGTGATGATGGTGATGTTGGTGATGATGATGATGGTGATGATGGTGATGATGGTGATGGTGATGGTGGTGATGGTGATGGTGATGGTGATGATGATGGTGATGATGGTGATAATGAACAATAATAGCTAACATTTCTAGAGCGCCAGGCACTGTGCTAAGTGCTTTACAAATATTATTTAATTTGATCCTCACAGCAACCCTAGGGTGTAGGTGCTAGTATCCCCATTTTATAATTGAGGAAACTGAGGCAGACAGACGTTAAATGACCTACTCAGGGTCACATAGCTACTCAGTGTCTGAATCTGATTTGAACTCGGGTCTTCCTTGACTGCAGACCCTTCCCTCTGTGCACTGTCAGAGCCCGTGGTGCTTATGACCACACGCCCCAGTTCTCAGCTTACCAGCTGTGAAATCACGTGGGCCTCCATAGTTTTGTAGCTTGGCTACCATTTCATCTCAGCATTTTAGAAACAACTTCATTCATTTGTGTCTCAGAGTTGTTTTCTTTTGTATTTCATTACCAAAGATTTTGAACAGTGTTTCTTATGGTTATGGACAATCTGTCTTCCTTTTTTTGGGTGGAAGAACTGACTCTTTGTATACTTTCACCTTTTATTATTTTTTTTTATAAATTTATTTATTTATTTTTAGTTTTCAACATTCACTTTCATAAGATTTTGAGTTCCAAATTTTCTCCCCATCTCTCCCCTCCCTCCACCCCAAGACGTTGTGTAAATTGATATTACCTTTTATTTTTTGTGAAATGGATCTATTACACTTATAATTTGCATCATTGCCTTTGGTTTTTAAATGTCAAATATTTAGCAGAAATATTTATGGCAAAGATTTTTTCTCTAACCTAGTTCTTTCTTTTTCAGTATAAAGACACTGACTTTTTTGCATGCAAAAATTTTTTTATAATTAAATTCATCCATTTTGTCTTCAATAATGTCTTTTATTTGTTGGGGTGAGTCCCTCTCTCTCCCCTTTTTCTGCTTGTCCATAGTTCCTCTTCATGTTCTTTTTTATTTATTTCTCCACATAAATTTTCGTACCATTTTACTTTATTCCATGTTAAGGAGCCTGTTAATATTTAGATTTGTGTTATGATAGTTGTATGAATTAATTTGATTGGTACTGCCATCATTACTACATTAGTTTTACCTAGTTATGGGTGGTAGATCTTTCACTGTTTGCTTGTTTCTTTATTTAAAATTAATTAATTAATTAATTGATTAAAATCGACTGTTTTTGAATCAGTAAAAATCCACCTCTTTTCTCCCCCAAGTCTTCCCAATTAAGAAGAAAGAAAAATAAAACCCCTATTAGACTAACAATATAAATTTCTAGCTTGGCTATTCTCTCCCTGCTTATCCCCAGTTTCTCTGTAAGCGCTCAGAGCCCTTCATGGCTCCATCTGGAGATGGGCAGCAAGGTTTTTCCTGAGTCCCCCGGAATTATTGGTCATTATGCTGATCAGAGTTCCGAGGTCTTTCAAAACTATTTGTCTTTACAATATTGTTGTTGTTGTTTACGTTGTTTTTCTAGTTTTACTCATTTCACTTTGCATCAGTTCATACGGGTCTTCCCAGGTTTCTCTGAAACCATCTCTTTCATCCTTTCTTAGAGCACAATGAGTATTCCATCACAGTCATATACCACAGCTTGTTCAGTCATTCCCCAGTTGATGAACATTCCTTCAGTTTTCAGAAGAACTGTTCTAATATTTTTCTCCATCCTTAGGGAGAGTTTGTTTTGCTTTGAATTAATCATTCCCTTCCTTAATTTGCCCTCCCTCTTACTCTCTCCTCTGGATTTTGGATATAATATTCCTGGGAGTTTTCATTTTGGGGTTTCTTTTAGGTGGGTGGATTATTTCTATTTCCACTTTGCTCCCTGGTTCTTAGAGGTCTATTATGATTTTTTTGAAATATGATGTTTATGCTCATTTTACTCTCATAGCTTTCATGTAGTACAATGATTCTTAAATTATCTCTCTTTATTCTTTTTTTTTTTTTTTGGTAAAATGTCATTTGTTTTTGTTATTACATTTTCTTCTCTTTTTCAGTCTTTTGATTTTGTTTTAATAATTCTTGATGTCTGATGGAATCATTGGCTTCTATTTGGTCCATCTAATTTTCAGGGAGTTTGTTACTTGGGCAAAGTTTTTGTATCTTTTGTGCTAAGCTCTTCATTCTCTTTCTAATTCTCCCATAGCTCTCATTTATGAAAATAGTTTAACTCACCCCCCCAATCTTGTTTCTTCTTTTCCAAAAATTCTAGTTGAATTTGTGTTCAAGTCATGTTTTTCTTTGAGGCTCTGCTTGTAGATGTTTTGGAGTCATTCTTTTTTGTGTGTGTTTACAGGCAGCAACGTGGGGCTTGGGGTTAGAACTCCTCAGCTGCTGCCGGCCTCTGTACTTGCTCCCTGCCTGGGACGCAGCAGGCCAACAGTGCCGCTCCTTGGCACATGCCCTGGATCTGTGACCTGGAAGTGGGGGGGAGAGTGACAGAGCTGCCAGGGGACACCTGTTGCTACACTCTCCCCAAGTTTAGGCCTCTCTGGGCTGGATCTGGGTCCTCTTCTTGCCTTGGATCATAGCCTCTCCCTGGGCTGGAATGTTCCATGTCGCATCTGTTTGGAGGAGCTGAGGTGGCAGGGGAAACTTCTTGTTACTCTGCCATTTTTTCCCCATTTGTTTAATAATTTCTATGTTTATGTTTAGTTTTTATTCAGCGTCTTTAACTATGATTCTTCTGTATCTCCAAGTAGCTTAGTATCTATGTGCTCGGTAAATTTTGTCGTTGTTATAAATTATATTTCTCTTTCCATCGCTTCTGGTTTTTGCCAGTTGTATCTAGATGTGCAGGTGATTTTAATAGGACTTCTTATGTATTCTCCTCTCTTAGTGTCACTGTTTTCTTGATTAGTTCTTTCCTTGAATTTCTTTGGGTTTCTGAATATATCGTAATTTCATCTGTGAATAAATTGTTGTTGTTAACTCGTTTCAGTCACGTCCAACCCTCCGTGACCCCATTTGGGGTTTTCTTGGCAGAGATACTGGAGTGATTTGACATTTTCTTCTCCAGCTCACTTTACAGATGAGAAAACTGAGACCAACAGGGTGAAGTGATATGCCCAGAGTTACCCAAGTGAGGTCAGATTTGAACTTAGGGAGATGAGGCTTCTTGACTTCAGGCGGGGCACACTATCCTTTCTGCCACCTAGCTGCCCTTATGAGTAGATGTCTTTTAAACTTATTTGCTTATGCTTACATCCTGCATTTCTTTTTCTGGCTATTGTAGTATATGTATACATTTCCAAAACTATCTGTCTGTCTCTCTATCTATTTTTTATGCAGTCCAGATGACTTTTCTAAGCTGTCATTGCAGCTGTACCACATATAAGGAAATATCTCATTCTTCCCTTTTATTTACCTTTTATTTACCCATATATGAACATTACAACAACAAAATAAAGGTGCAGTATTCTACTGTAAATCAAGAAGAGAACTAAGGGAAAGAAATTGGGGGGAATGGTGTTTTAATAAGCATTTTTGAGAAAATCTGACATCCCGCCTTGGTCCGAGTTCAGAGGAATAGCCAGGCTAGCTAGTCCCCCACTCAAGCAGCCCACCCCTGCCCGGCCTGGCCCATCCTGCCCTTGTCTGCTAGCTCTTGTTGTCCAAATCTTCAGTGTCCACTGGTTATCCATAGATCTGCCCTCTGGGCTAAGACGAGCAAATGATTAAAGGCTGTGTGTGCCCATAAGTCTTCCTTCTTATTCTCATTATTGTCACGGGCCTTCCAAAAATGTGGCCCCAAGAATGGAGCCCAGTGGACTGGACGTGCAGAAAGGATGGCCTTCTTCCTCTTTGGGGATGCAGCTTCTGATTAGCTCTTCCCTGTCTCTTTCTTGTGCAGCTGATTTGTTTTGAATCCAGTTGTAATGTAAGATATTACATTCATCTCTATTGAATTTCCTCTTATTAGACTTAGCCCAATCTCCAGCCTGACACAATCTGTTTTTCGATCCCATTGTCACTTTAAAGACCCTTTTGGCCTCTCTGTTCAATCTGACACAGATTTTTTTGAGCGTCTACTACAGGTATGTCTCTGTGTATGTTTGTCTTAGGGACAGAAAAACAAAAGCACGTCATGCTCTGCCTTTTGTGAGTCTGGGAGTTCTTAGACTAGTTTGGCTCAGAAGGTGAGTAGGTGGAAGTAAGTAATACAAGATGAATGTGTAAAGTGTGTGTGCATACGCGCTCTCCAGGCATTTCAAAGAGAGGGAGAGCCTCCGTGTCCAAAGGTAGTTAGTCAGCCAGCACCAGGGACTCTGCTAGGTGCTGGGGACCCCAAGAGAGAAAGGAAATAGCCCCTGCCTTGAAGGAGTTGAGCTCACTCCTTATCTGAGCTCTGAAGGAAAGTAAGAGTTGGAAAGACATCCAGCATGGCTTAAGGCTGGTGTGAGTGAGTGGACGTCTGTGTGAATGTTGTTGTTGTCTCTGTGTTCCTGGTACCTCACGTGCCTGGTCGGGGCTTGAATTGAGTGAAGCAGAATGTTGAACGTGAGCGGTGAGTCATTCTTGGTCTCCTTTGATTCTGAGGGCAAGATGTGAGTGAATCATGAGAGAAAACTGGGGATGGTGGTGGTTGCCAGATTGCCGCGTGTCTGAAATGCTCGATAAGAGGCTTTGTATTTTATCCTAGAGTCAGTGGGGCTCTCGGTAAGACTTCTAAGCAGGGCAGAGACATGGGCAGACCTGGGCTCGATTTGGGCTGCTCGGCGGAGAATGCTTTGGCCAGGGAAGACCCTGGAGGCAAGGAGGCCTGTTAGGGGCTGCTATAGTCGTCCATGACAGAAGTGATGCAGGCCTGCAGTGGGATGCTGGCTTGAGTTGGGGATGGATTTGAGGAATGTTGGAGAAGTAGAATAGAAAAGACATGGTGACTTGTGAGTGGAGACTTCGAGGGAGACAGAGTCAAGGACGGCTCCGGGGTCATAAACTGCACGACTGCAGGGATGGTCGTGTGCTTGACAGGAAGAAGGAACTTTTGAGGAGATGCAGAGTTACATTCTTGACACGTCGATTTTGATTTGCCTGGGAATGGATGAAGTCAACAAGCAAAGGAGAGAGTACACAGAGTGTGGAGAAATAGGAAAAGAGCTGAGGGCTGCCCACAACCATAAGCCCACAGCAAGCTTTTATTAAACTCCTGCTCTGTGCAAGGCATTGGTGGCAAAGAGCCCCCCCCCCCCAAAAAAAAATTTAGTTGCCTAAAGAAGTTGACATTCCACCGGGGTCATGCATACAGTTAAGTAAACCTGAATTATATATGAAGTTGTATCAGGTGATTTTTAGAGGGAGATTAGGAAAGGCCTTGTGAGCAGCTGGTGCCTGAGCTGAGCTTTAAAACATGGAACATGGAAGGCTTCTGCGAGGTAAAGGTGAGGAGGAAATGCATTCCCGGCCTGTGCACAGGTGGGCAGTGAAATGTTATTTATGAGGAACCAACAGTAGCTGGTAGGATTGGGAGGAAGGCCTCGGAAACAAGGCCAGAAAGGCCTGTAAAATGGAGCCACGTTGTCCCAGGCTTTAAAGGCCCGGCCGAGGAGTTTGTGTTTTATTGTAGAGCCACTGCGGTTTTGAGTAACAGAATGACATGGTTGGATCCGCGTTTTAGGAATATTAATTTAGCAGCTCTGTGGAAAGGAAGATTGCAGATGGCAAAGACCAGAAGCATGGAGACCGATTTAAAATCTATTGAAATAGTTCAGTGGGAGGCAGTGAGGGCCTGGATTAGGCTGGTGAGGATACAGACGGGAGAGATGGGTGATGAGGAGCCAGCAAAGGTGATTGAGATGGAGGGACGTACGGACGTATTGGTAAGAAGAGCCCCGGGGAGAAGAGGGACGAGAATGCTGGCCAGGTGACGGATGGATGTGTCCAACAGCACTAGGCCAGGGGCAGATCCCTGAAACACTTGCCTAGAGTTCATGTCAAGCCATCAGTGAGTGTTTTCTGAGTCTGGCTGTTTAAACAGTGCCGAATTCCTAGAAGAGTGCTCTTGGGTAGCCCCAACGCCGTGGAATTTACAAATGAGAAGGGATCTGAGTGGCCGTCTTGTCCTCCCCATGCTTGGATAATCCACTTTATGTGATGTTGAATTGTTCGTCTGACTTTCACTTGAGTGCATCTAGTACGGAGGAGCCAACTGCCTGCCGAAGCGTCCAGCTCCACTTTGGTTAGATTTGGTTGTTAGGAAGGGTTTCCTTTGACCAAGCCTGGGGGGTTTGTCTCTTTTCTTCTGTCGCTTACTGTTTCTTGTTCTCGCCTTCGGGGCCAGGTAGAACAAATCGAGTCCTCCTTCCGGGTGACATCCCTTCCAGTACTGCAAACACAGCTTTCATTTCCATTCTCCCTCCCCTCCAGCCGCTCCAAGTGTTCTTCTCCAGCCTAAATAATTCTCTTCATTCTCTTTAAGCAGGGGCCTGTTCACAAGCACCTTTCTTATCTGAGTAAGAGGAGTCTAGGAACTGGAGGGACCTTTAAGTACCTTCATAACTTCCTCAATACACAGATCCAGACTGTGGTTAGGCGACCATGTAGGTCTCTGTAGCAGTGTAGGATTGTCTACCTAACCAGCTGGCACAGAGAGTTAGAAATGGGCACCTGAAAAAATGGTGGTGCTGTAGGAAAACAAATATGCCGTTGCCCTGCTGCAGAGCTGTGGATTAGGAAGTGCACTCTTTTGGGAAAGCAGTGTGGACTTACACAGGAGGAACCGATAATTGCTCATGTTCTTTGACCTGATCCCACTCCTAGGACTGTGCCCTAAGCATGGTGGTGTTAAGATTTGCCCACATGAAAATGATCCTAGCTGCATCCTACACGTTGGATGAAGAAGGGAAATAGTCCACATTCCCATTTGAACGAATAACTGAAAAAGGTGTGGTGTTTGAATGTAATTGAATATTGTCATGCCATAGGAAATGATAGCTATGAAGAGTCAAGAAATCTGAGAAGACATAAAAGGTGATGCAGAGTGAAAAAAATGCATGTGGACTATATGTTAATAATAATGGCAAAAATATGTGTTAAAATACACAGAAAGGAGGAAAAAAAAAACACATTCTGAAACAGGGTGTGTTTAAATGTTTTTTTTTCTTTCTTTCAGTTTGGGACACTAGGCCTGACACCAAGGAGTCATCTCCGAAGTTGGCCATTTCTATAAAAGAACCATCCAATAAGACACTTCCACGGGGTGGTCTCTGTGACTCTAAGCTGAGATGTTCCTGGGACTATGGTGCAAGATTAGAGAGGAAGCTGAGTCAAGAGGAGAGCCATTCTAAACAAGTAAAACTTGTCCGAAGGAAAACTGCCAATCAAGGAAGAAGAAACGAATTTGATAAATATGGGAGAAGCTTCGGTCTAGAGCCGATCCTTTTTCCACAACAGAGAGAATTGATTGAAAAAAGTCTCCGTGAGTATGACATGCAGGAGAGCTTCAGGCTGTATTCAGAGCTAAGAAAATGTAATAATATATGCTCAAAGAAGATATTGTCTGTGTATAATAAATGTGGAAGATCCTTCAGGTATAATTTAGGACTTATCAAAAAGCGTGGAATACATATTGGAGAGAAAACTTACAAATGTAATGAATGTGGCAAGACTTTCCGTCAAAGCACAGGACTTATTCAACATCATAGAATTCATACAGGAGAAAAACCCTATAAATGTAATGAATGTGGGAAGGCCTTCCGTCAGAGTTCAGGCCTTATTCAACATCATAGAATTCACACTGGAGAAAAACCTTATAAATGTAGTGAATGTGGAAAGGCCTTCTGCCAAAACTCAGGCCTTACTCAACATCAGAAAATTCATACTGGAGAGAAGCCTTATGAATGTAATGAATGTGGGAAGGCTTTCCTCCGGAATACTGAGTTAACTGAACACCAGATAACTCATACTGGAGAGAAACCTTATGAGTGTAACGAGTGCGGGAAGGCCTTTTGTCAGAGGGCAGAACTTAGTCGCCATCATAAAATTCATACTGGAGAGAAGCCTTATAAATGCAATGAATGTGGGAAGGCCTTCCGCCAGATTACACACCTTACTCAGCATCATAAAATCCACACTGGAGAGAAACCTTATGAATGCAGTCAGTGTGGGAAGACCTTTCGCTACAGCTCACACCTTACTCGACATCGTAGAACTCATACAGGGGAGAAACCGTACGAATGTTATGAATGTGGAAAGGCCTTCCGCAGGAGTTCTCACTTTATTCGACATCAGATAATTCACACTGGGGAGAAACCTTATAAATGTAGGGAATGTGGAAAGGCCTTTCGCTGGAGCACAGGACTTAGTCGACATCAGAGAACTCATAACGGAGAGAAACCTTATTAACGTAAAGGATGTGACGAAGTCTTTTATAGTTCCTGCCTTCTTCAGCAGTAGGAATTTATACTGGAGGGAAGTCTCATGAATGTAATCAGTATGGGAATGCTTTTTCTCAGGCCACAGAGCTTATTCACCATCAGGTAATTCATAGTAGAGAGGAACATGAATATAGTGAATGTGGGAAATCCTTTCCCCAGCAAATAAAATTTAGTAAATGTCAGATAATTAATCCTGGAGAAAACCTTTATGAATGTAAAGAATGTAAAGGGAAGGCTTTTATCCAAAGAGAATACCTTACAATAAATCATAGATGTAGAGCTAAAAGGGGCCTCAGTGAACATGTAGCCCAAACCCCTTTTTAGTGATGTGGAAATTGAGGCCCAGGGAGGTGATTTGCACAAGGTCACACAGGCAGGCTTTCCCACCTGAGAGCTGGAGGGAAATCCCTCCAAACACATATAGCCCTAGAGAACTATGGAGCTTGAGGAAAGATGGGCAGAGTGCCTGCTCAGAAAAGAGATAAAGAGGGAGGGAGCTAGCCTGGAGTAGAGGAGGAGGGTGATGTGGTGCCTGAAGTGTTTCAGAATCTGGGAAATAGGTCAGGTGGCTTCAGGCAGAAACTCAGTAACTCAAGTCTCCTAAATGCCTCTCTTTCACCTGCCTTCACAGCTCTAGGGCCCTACCATCTCCGCTTTATCACAGGGAGGGCCCCGTGTATCTCTGACGCATATCTTCTCTTCATGCCTGGCAGGAGGAATTACCTGGAACAGAGGAGGGCCTCACATTCCTTGGAGGTTCCTGTCCCCTGGGTCAGGCTGCAACCTGTCGCAGAAATTTAGATTTCTTCACCCTCAAGGATCGCAGAATCATAGGTCTGGAGCCGGAAAGCACCTTAGAAGTTGTGAGGATCAAATGAAACTTTGTATGGTGCTTGGCACAGTGCCTGGGGCCTAGCGGGCATTATATAATGCTGGCTCTTATTAGAGGATAGTGAAGCCCTTCCAGACTGGGAGTATCTAGGTCAGAGAAGAGAAGGCTTACAGAGGGAGGGAAGTAATACTTGTCTGGGGGCATAGAAGAAGGATTCTCTTTGTTCTGTTTGTCCCTGGAAGAGCAGTCAGGAAAGTTTTAAAAGAAAATTTAGGCTTGACACCATAAGGGAAAACTTGATGGCAATTAGTAGACAATCCATCCGTAGGTAGTAGGTGACCCCTCACTGGATACCTTTAAGCATGGTCTGAAAGAGAATTTTGTTGGTATGTTTGGAGAGTTAGTGTTTATATATAGTCTAATCTAGATTGCTTCTGTGGTCCTTTCCAGTCCTGAGATTCTATGATTCTCATCCTAAGAATTCATAGTGGAGAAAAGCCTTAAGAATGTAGTAAATGTAACTTTTACTGTGCACTTTCAAATCACTCTCTTCGGAGATCCTATAGATTTGCAGCTCTGCTACTAATGAATGAGTACTTGTCTCTTCACCCTTTTCATGCACATTGAGTTGCTGCTTTGGATTATTTTTGCTGATTTTTATGAGTGTGAGATGTTACCTCAATGTTGTTTGTATCTGCATCTTTGATTATTAGCGAACCCTTTACCTGTATCCTTGATCTCATTCGATCCCATCTTCACCAGCAGAATGCCTTCTCTATCATCTCCACTCTCTCTTCCATCTCTTTTTATCTACTGGCTCCTTCCCTACTGCCTATAAACATAGTCACGTCTCCCCCATATTTAAATACTCTCACTTGATCTGACTATCACCAATAGAAATTGTCCTATATCTCTCCTCTCGTGGCTAACCTTGAGAATGCCGTCTACAATCAACGTTTTCATTTCCACCCCTCTCACTGGCTTCTGAACCCTCTGTACTCTGGCATTCGGCTTCATCGTTTAGCTGAAACTGCTTTCTCTAGAATTACCAATGATCTCTTAATTGCCAAATCTAATGATCTTTTCTTTCTCTTCATTGGTACATTTTCCCTTACTTTCAGGGAGATTTGTTAGAATAATGCAATACCAACAATTCTCTGCATGAAGGTGTGGCATAAAACATCTGATTACTAATGGTTGAATAAATTGTGGTCCAAAAATATAATGGAATTTTATTCTGCAATTAAGATTGGCAAGTCTGAGGAATATAAGGAGGTATGGATAATGTTGAGTGTATAATGAAGATCCAGGAGAACGGTGCTAGGAATGAGAATGAATGGAAAACTAAGAATCCTGATGGAGACATAGAGGGCTGGATTGAAAAGGTGTTTTGGCGTTTTGTAGGTTAAATTCCATTTGTTTAAATGTAAATAATTGCAAAGCAAGTTTAATTGTGTTGATGTTCAAGATTGTTGATAACTTATAGAGGTACCGGTATAGTGGATAGAGAGCTGATCTCAGAGTTTGGAAGACCGTGGTGCATGGTGCCTCTGACACCTACTGGCTGGATGATGCTGAACAAGTGCTTCTTGTGCTCCCGGCAACTGGGTAACACTATGAGTTTCATGACCGACGTGGTCAAAGGGTCTTTCTCACTATGGGCTCCCTATACCGATTAAGTCAAAGTTCAGTCGGAAGTTTTGTATATAATAAATGTTTTATTAAAAGAAAAGTTCTGAATATGAGAAGGGTTTCAGTAAGCTTTCGTACTCAACTGGAGTCCTCAAAAATTATCGGCGTAATTAATCATGCTCCCCTTCTTTTGGTCATGGACGAGAGTGATCCTGACTTCTTGCCTTCCTCCCTGCTCTAGGTCGTTGCCCTAGCTGTGATCTCTTGTGCTTCCATCTTCAAGGTATCCTCCTGCGTGGATCCATTCTGCATTGCCTGGAAACATGCTCCAATACTTTAAAAAGCCTACCCTCTGCCTGATCCGTCTACCATCTCCCTTACCTTCTCCCCTTTACTTCCAGCCCTCTGGCAAAAGCTTTCTATTCCCAGTGCCTCCAGCTCCTCATCACTGCAGCACTCATGTCTTTCGGGCCACTCTACTAAAATGGCTCTCCTAAAGGTCACTGTTGACCTCCTAATTGCCAAATACGGTGACCTTGTCCCTCCCAGTTTTCATCATCCTTTGGCTCAGTGTTTGTTTGTTTTTTACATCATCAATCGCCCTTTCCTTCTGAGTACGTTCTCCTTCCACGTCTTTAGATACTACACACTCCTTTGGTTAATATTAGGTCTAGTCACTCATTTATGTGGCTAGCCCTGTAAGATTTGCAGTATACTTCCTCATTGTGAGTGTATGAAGCAGATCATTATTGGTCTCACCGTGCAGATTATAAACCTGCGGCTCTTGGGGATCACAAGATTTGCCCGTCTTCTGCCGACGAGTCCGGGTCTGCAGTGGGATTTGAGTCTGGGCTCCTCAGCCAAAGTCCAGCACTCTGGACTGTTCCACACCATGCTAGTTATTCACCTTCTAACTTCTCTTTCTCCTTCGGCTCATTTTTTCCTCAGCCCATAAGTTACAGATTTTGCCGAGGTTCTGCCCTGAGCCCTCTTCCCTTGCCTCTCTAATCTTCCCTTTGGGAATCTTACTTGGTCCCAGGGCTTTTGGTTCCACTTCTAGGCTAATGACCATGTGCAGTCATGATCTTTGGAACTTAAGATGAGTATCACCATTTCTGTTAATCACACCCTTATCTCCCCACTCTCCCATGTAGGAAAACTGCCATTGCTTTTGAGTCTTCACTCTCTCTCCCTTCTCATATCTAATTCGTCACCATGTCCTGTCAGCTCTACTGTCACAATATATCTCATGGTCTTTTTCCTCCTTTCTATCCCTACATTCTGTAGCCTAGCGGGCCAAGGCAGAGTGATAATGGAATTGATGGTTGAGTGGAGAGCTGGGCTCATCTGCCCCCAACACTTAAGGGTAATCCTGAGCAAGTTACTAAGCCCTCTGAGCACGTTTTATCTTCTGTAAAATGGTGATCATCATACCTGTAATATCTACTGCATAGGGTTATGTTGTATTTCATACGTGTCCAACTCATTTGCTGGGTGTTAAGCTTAGTGATCATAGAGCATATGTATTTATAATCTTGATATTTTTTTGCTGGGATCCAGTAAAATGCTCTGCACATAGTGTTTAATAAATGTGTTAAATGGAATTGACTGGAAAAAATTTCACTTGAAGGGGTCACCTTACTGAACATCTTGGAATTGGTATTGAAGAGAAAACTTCCAATGGGTTATTGGATATTTAGACCCTCACTTTCTGATGGATCACTGTGCCCTATGTCTTTCCAAAATGCCTCTCTCCTCTATGGGCCAGACACTGTGCTAAGCCCTTGGGATACAAAAAGAGACAAAAGACAGCCCCTTCCTCAACAGAACTCATAATTGAATGGAGGAGACAATGTGCAAACAAGCTACATACGGGAAAAATGGGAAGTAATTAGCAGAGACAGGCACTACAGTTAGCAGGGGTTAAAGCCCTAGGTAGTGCAGTGGGTAGAGTGCCGGGCCAGAAGTCAGGAAGACTCCTCTTCCTGAGTTCAAATCTGGCCTCAGATATTACTGGCTGGGTGACCCTAGGCAAGTCACTTAACTTGCCTCAGTTCCTCATCTGTAAAATGAGAAGGAAGGAGCAGACCATTCCAGTATCTTTGCCAAGAAAACCCCAGACAGGTTTGGACATGATAGAAATGACTGAACAACAACAAAAAAGCACTATGTATAAATGCTATCTATGGTCATTGAAGATGCAGTCGTTTTTATCTGTACAGCCAATGGAAAAAGGCTTCTCCCAAGCATGTGGTCAGCCAACTGCCACCAGTTACATGGTGTTTCCCAGTCATTTCTCTTACAAAACATCATGTTTTTCATGGACGTTGTCTTCCCATCATCCTCCATGTGCAGAGTTTTCATCAGCTGAGCAAGCGGACGGGGCCTGTGCACGCACCGTACAAACTCCTGTGCTCGGCATTTAAAGCTCTTCATAACTTGGTCCCTTCCTATTTTTCAGTCTTCTTACGCAATACTGTGGTGTTGCCATAGGAGCCTGCTTTCTTAGACCCATCCCTATGCCATCCCCTTCAATGCAACACAAGGTAAGTAGGAGGTGAGGATGTGGATGGTGAGTGTCATCTGGGGTCAGGGATCGATAAAATGTGAGTGGCATCGGGACAAGGGAATAAAGGATCCAAGAGCAGAGGCAAATGTAGAGTTTGCCTGGTTAAGTAAAAGGTCAAAACTGGGAAGAGAGGAAAGTGAAACGAGAGCAAGGGCGATGGCCTGGGAGAACACAGTGGGTGGCTTGTAAGTCATGGTGAAGGGGAAGAATAGGTTTGGAAAGACTCAGGGTGCTAGTAAACGTGAAGCACCTACTATGTGTCAGGTACTGTGCTAAGTGCTAGAGATGCAAACATAAGAGGGTAGTCCCTGCCCTCAGGGAGCTTCCATTTTAAAGGGGGGGGCAGACAACACAGAGAAGAAAGAGGGGAAGGGGAATGTACTTGGCATGGAGAAGCCAAAATGAGGACAGCCAGATGGGAGAGTGTGAGGTGCCTGAAGAGACCTGTCCTATCCCCTCTTCTTAAATGGAGGTTGAGGAGATGATGTTCCATCTTCCAGGCAGTCAGGAATTGTGAGTACCAGGTCTCTTTGGATCTTGGAAGGTGATGAGTTCTCCCAATGATGAATTTAGGACTATGGAGGCATGGTGGAGAAGACGGAGAGGTTGGGAATGAGTGCAGCTGGTGGGACATGGGGAGCTTTGCAGAGTTAAAGGCGTAAGGCATCGTTAGAGACAGAATGACAAGAGGTGATGATCAGATAGAGAAATTCTGGAATTCATCATGGAATTTCTTCACTAAAGAAAATATCTCTACCTATGCCCTTGATCTTGTTACTTAACACTTAGAAAGCAAAATAGATGCATATTTCAGGAAACAGATAAAAAACCTGGCACGGAGATACGGTATGGTACATGATAGATTCATTCACTCAAAATAAGTTGAGGGTAGAAAGGGAAACTGAAAACAAAAGGGACTTTAACAGTGTTACATGGGGGGTAGTAGGAATGTCAAAGAAAGGATGGGACGGCTGCTTAGGTAGTTGAGATGGTAGTAACTGATGACGGGGGAGGGGGTACAGGGGAACAATTCCAATTTGGGTGGTTGGTGAAGAAGGCTGAGGAACTTCTTTGGACAGCACAGGATAGGACAGGACAGCCCCCAAGAAGCCTAAGTAGACATGAAGTGAGGCCAAGATAAGAAAAGGGAGAGTCAGAAAGCACCCCCCTGCCCTCCAGTGTGGAAGGAGGTAGCAAATGTGATGGCTGCATTATGGTCAGAGAGCTCTGATTCTTGATTATAGGAGAGATACTGCATGGACTGGAGAGCAGCCCCTATTGTCCTGGTTTTCTAAACAGGTAAGAGAACAGAGTTTGCAAACTCTGGACCAGCCACTCTGACTTCTACCATCTGGCAAAATTCTAGAACATTATTAAAAGGATGGTATGTGAGTATTTAGAAAGGGAAGCAGTGATCACACAGAGCCCCGTGGCTTCAGCCGAAACAGGTCGTGCCTCATTTCCTTTTTTTGGACAGGATTTCTAAGCGAATAGATCAGGGGGATGCTTTCTGAATAGATCATCCTTCTTTACTGAGAGACCAGATGGATTGTCCATGCTTTTCATGCCTCCACACCGCTGTCTAGTGTGTGGCCAGCCCGTGAAGTGGGAGTCAGCTCACCCTCAGCTCAGCAGCTCACTCTTCATTACATCGAATTTAGTCAGCATCTCAGAGCTTATGGCAGGTGCCTCCTTGAGCTTCAGGATAGGCCCATGGACCTCATCACAGAGCTCCTGGCCCAAGATGGACTCTACCTTCTCCTGCCACTCTCTCAGCCAGGGCCGGTTCTCAAAGACATTGTAGTCAGCACTGATGGCCTGTGGACACACAAAGCAAAACAGAGTCAAGCATAGGGACGTGCAGCTGCTTGGGAATTTGGGGCAGGTCTGAGTTCTGCAGTCATCTCATGGCTTTAGCTGGGTCTCGGGAGCCGAGAAAGGGGCCGTCTTCCAGGAACTTACCATGTCGCCTGTCTCTCTACCGCCGAACTCTGCTGGTCAGCTGGTTGAGCTCATCTTCTCCCCCCATCCCAAACTCTCCCTTATTTCTAACTTCCCAGTTCCTGTCAAGGGATCCACTGTCCCATCCTCTCAGTCCCTCAGGATCACAGGCTGTGTGTCAACTTCGACTCCCTAATCTCTCTTAACCCCATGCCCAGTCATGTCTACCTTCACACCATCTCTGTCTGTGCTCTTTTCTCTGACCACCCTGGGTCAGGCCCCGGCCGCCTCACACCTGGACTACTAAGGCGGCCTTCTGGTTGGTCTCCCTGCCTCAAGTGTCTCTGCATTCCAGTCTATTTCTACATAGCTGTCAAACTGACTTTCCTAAAATGCAAGTCTGCCTACATCTGCCCTTCCCCCTACAGCAAATGCTAGTGGTCCCCTATGACCACCAAGATCAAAGTCCTTCCTGACCTTCCCCTTGCTTCCTCTCCAGTCTTCTTGTTGGCTTGGCTTGCTGTTTCTCACATGGATGCTCCATCTCTTACCTCTGTCCTGGCAATCTCTCCCTTAGAATCCCCAAGTAGAGGTGAGGCCTCCGGGGTCACCAGAGTGCTGGGCCTGGAGTCTTGGAAGACCCGAGTTCAAATCCAGCCTCAGATCCTTCCTAGTGGGGTAACTCTGGGCAAATCACTTCACTTCTGTTTGCCTCAGTTTCCTCAGCTGTAAAATGGGGATAATAAGGACCTCAACAGGGTTGTTGTTAGAATCCAATGAGATCATATTTATGAAGGGCTTGGCACAGCACCTGGCACATAATAGGTGCTAGAAACTGAGGGGATGCCTATCAGTTGGGCAACGGCTGAACAGGCTACGTCATGTGAATGTGATGAAATACTACTGTGCTATAAGAAATGATGGTTTCTGAAAAATGTGGGCAGACTTGTGTGAACTGATGCAAAGTGAAATGAGCAGACCCGGGAGAACAGCAACATTGCGTGATGATCAACTGTGGATGACTTACCTGCTCTGGTCAAGATGTGACCACAACAATTCCATGGGACGTATGATGAAAAATGCTCTCCGCCTCCGGAGAGAGAAAACTGATGAAGTCTGAGTGCAGGTTGAAGCATGATTTTTTTCACTTTCTTTGTATTTATTGCTTTTTGTGCATTTTTGGGGCAACATAGCTAATGTGGAAATACGTTTTGCATGACTTCACATGGGTAATTGATAGTGGATGAGGAAGGGGTGAGAGGGAGGGAGAGAATTTGGAACTCAATATTTTAAAAAATGAATGCTTAAAATAAAAAGAATTAAAGGGAAAAAATTAAAGCATAAAAAATAGGATCATGGATTTAGGGCTAAAAAGACCCATGAGGCCACCTGCTCCAATGGCCTCATTCCACACATGAGGAAAATGAAGCGTCTTACCCGACGTCACTAGGGTAGTGAGCGGCTGAGCTGGGCTTCTAACCCCAGGCCCTCAGCATCTAGGGACCTATAAGAAAAGAGGCCAGGGCCTCCCTGCCCCCACGGAGCTTAGCTGTAGTGTAAACGCTAGTAAGGTAACTCTCTTCTGTGTATCTGTCACATTTCCAGGAATTCCACTCTTAGAGCCATTTCTTCGGGTTCCTAAACTCATACATACAGAGCTAGAAGAACCAACATTTTACAGATAGAGAAACTGAGGCTTGGGGAATGAGTTCTCGTAGTAAATGGCCCAGCTGAACTCACTTAATAATCCAGTGACACTGGCCTCGTGGCTATTCCATCTCCTGACTCTGGCATTTCCATTGGCTATCCCCTGTGCCTGGAATTCTTTCCTCTTCTCCCCTTTCTGGTTTCCTTCAAATCCCTGCTAATATCCCACCTTCAGCAAGAAGCCTTTTCCAATCCCCATACTCCCCTCCCCCCACCCCAAATGCTAGGGCCTTCCTTCTGTTAGCTTTTCCTGCTTATCCTGTTGATAGCCCCCATTAGACTGTGAGCTCCTTGAGGGCAGGACTCATGTTTTTATTCCTGGAGCTTGGCAGAAGGCTTGGCATGTCATGGGCAATTAATCGATGCTGGTTAACTTGACTTGACTGAACTCAGGTTGAATGAGGCTAAGTTAGCACCCCAATGGATGGCCCTTTCCACTGATCTCAGCACGAGCCCCACCCCGCCTTACCCACACCTTAGACCTTAGTGTGCATAAATGGGGCCGGCTGTTTTTCAGAGGGCTGATTTGAAGGAATGGGCATTTGAATGGAAAGGGAAGAGTGAAGAAGGAAGGAAGGAAGGACTGATTGATTCAGTGCCTACTATGTATCACGCAGTGTGCCAAGCACTATACAAATATGTCGTTTGATTCTCACAACAATCCTGGGAGGCAGGTGCTTTTATTATCTCAGTATTACATCTGAGGAAACTGAGGCAGACCCAGGGTCAGCCAGCTAGGAACTGTCTGAGGCTGGATTTGAATGCCCAGCACCTGGCCTTTTCTCTGCCTCCGGCTCTCATGCCAGGCCCCCCCAGCTCTGCCCAGCCCTCTGCTATGCCTACCTGTACCATGTCCTCCAGAGCCATCAGATCGGCCAGGGAGATCCTGTCCCCCGTCAGGAAGGGCTTGTCCTTCAGGAACTTGTTCTTCAGGAGGTCCAGGCTGTGGCTCAGCTCTGTCATGGCCTCCTCCAGTTTCTCATGGGGCACGTGGTGCTTGAAGAAGTGTGGGATCATCATCTGAATGATGAGAGAGGCAGAGGTGAAGAAGGCGGTGCTGCACTGAAGGGGAAGGAGGGAGCTGGCCTTCCGTGGGCCCTCAGCAGGGCCTTGCTGCCCCAGGGCCCCCGGGCTGTGCATGCAGGGGGACCAGTGGGGAGTCACGGCAGAGCCACGGGCAGCTCAGGGAAGACCAAGGCCTCAAGATGAACAGGGAGCGCAGCCAGATCCAGAGCCCCACCCGCTCATCTTCCTCCACCCTCCCCCACAGCCTGCCTGCTATATTCTAGGGGGGGCACGGGGTTTGAGGCTTCTCGGAGTTGCCCGGCACTCGATGTCAAGGCCCCTCCTCGCATGCATCCTCTGCGGCTCCCCGGCCGGCTGTGGCTGGGTATCAGATCGGGGACTACAGGCCTGCTTGTTAACATCCACACAGTTCCTAAAAGCATTGGTTTATTAAGCACCTGCTGTGTGCAGAGCCCTGAACTGAGACTGTCTCTGCGCTTACTGAGCAGTAAAGATGTAAAAGGGGAGAGAGACAGAAAGAGTTAGAAGGTACCATCAAGAGGCAAAGAGCTGGGGGAAATCTGGGAGGTCTTCCTGAAGGAAGTGCCCTTAGAGTTCTGCGATTAGGAAAAGGAGAGTCCTCATCCTTCAGCCTGACCACACGTCATCTGGAGCAGGGCGTCCCTGGTCAGGGCAGACACTGGTCAGGTGTCAGGGAAGGGCCTGGAGCCCCTGAGACAGGACAATCAGTTGGAGGAGTCGGGAGGGGGGTTGGAGGCAAGAAGGCAGGGAAAGCAAGAGAGTTGCCTGGAGGCATTCAAAGGGCTGTCACCTAGAGAAGGGGTTACAAGGGTCTGCTTGGCCCAGAGGGCGGGATCAGGATGGGTGGGGGCAGCTGTAAGAAGGGAAAGTACCTAAAAATGAGAGCTGGCCTAGTGTGGGAAAGGCTCCCTTGAGAGGGGTGTGTGTGTCTGTGAGTGTGAGTATGGGTGTGTCTGAGTGTGAGTATGTGTTCGTGTGTGAATGTGTATGTGTGTGAGTGTGTATGTGTGTGTCTGTGAGTGTATGTGTTTGTGAGTGTGTATGTGAGTGTGAGTATGTGTATGTGTGTGTGTGTGTTTGTGTATCTGTGTTAGCACCTACTTAAATACCTTCAGTGAAGGGCAATTCATTCATCCCTCTCCTGCCAACCAACCAATCAATCAGTAGGCACCTACTAGCACTTACTGTGTGCCAGGCACGGTGCTGAGTGTTGGGAATGTCAGGACAAAAGAAGAGGCAGTCCTTGCCCTCAGGGGGCATGCACTCTAAGGACCCTGTCTGAGCTCGTCCTGGGCTGTTTGGGGATGATGGATAAGACAAACTTGAAGTGGAAGCCTGAAGCAGGAGGCCGTTCTTGGGCTTGGGGCTCTGTGTCCCCGCTGCACCCACCTTCATCCACAAGACTTTTTTGCAATGCTTTTTCATGTTCAGGTGTTGCCAGGCGAGGTACTCATCCACGAGTGCACAGCCCTCGGCATCATCCGGGTACCAGTGGTCTGGGGTCTTGAACCGTCGGCACAGGTAAAGCATGATGGCCACGCTGGCAAAGCGGAAGCGAGAGTGGCAGCTTCAGGGCACTTTCTCCATTCCTGCTCCCCCTCAGGGCCCCTACCTGTTCCCTGGATCTAAAGGCTTGAGCGGCATATGGCCCCTTGCCCCTCTGGCCCTCACTTGCCTAGGTCTCTCTGACCAAACAACTTTCTGGCGATTCAGGAGATGAATCCCCACCCAGCCAAGGCCTGGCTTCCTCTTTCTTAGAATACAAACTGGAATAAGGTGGAAACCCCCTCCTTGCACCCTCCCTTTCTCCCCTAAGCCCAAGCACCAGCTGCTCCATCCAAAAGTTCTTAGAGCAGAGCAGAGTTTCTGTCAGAGGTGCTCAGATCAGGTGGGCAAAGCCAACCCATCAAGCTGGCATCCCCCTCCTTGGCCACCCCAGGGCACAGGCTTTTTACTGTAGAAAGGAAAAGAAACACACACACTTGGCAGAGCACAGACATGGGAAGAGGCCTTCATGCCCAAGCCTGCAGGACGCCGTGACAATCCAGGCCAAAGTGAGCATTTCAAGTTGGGTGTCAGGAGGCCTGCTCTTAGCTAGGCTACTAGCTCATAGTGTCACCTGTGCCATGGGCTTAATAAATGCTAGTTAACATATTGGCTAACTGTAAGGTCTACTGGCTGCTTTGGGAGCTCAGAGGAGGAGGTGAGCCAGTCTGGGGTTGTGGGTAGGGGGATTTGTCCGCCACTTAATTTCAGAGGACTCATGATGAAGCATGCTGTCACCTCCTGATAGAGAGATGATGGACTTGAGTGTGGATTGAGGCATTACTTTGACAGACATGAGCAATGTGGAAATTTGTTGTGTTTGACCACACATGTGTAGATTTTGTTTTTCTTGATTTCTTGGTGGTGGCGATAGGAGGGTGTGGGAAAGATGGAAAGGAGAAAAGGTAGCATCTTAATGAGCAAATTCGGAGTGACCATGGAGTCTGGCTTGAAGACTTCTGGGGTGAGGGGAGCCCACCACCTTTGGAGGAGGCCCATTCCACTCTGGGACAACTCTCACAGTTAAGAAGCCATCCCTGACCCCCAGATTTGGTGGCCTTCTGCCCACTGCTCCTGGTGCCACCCTCCAGGGCCAAGCAGGTCTAATTCCTGATCTACAGGAAAGCTTGGGGAGGGTTCTCATGCCCCCTCTAAGTCCTGTCTTCCCCAGGCTCCCATGACCGTTTCTCCTGGCAGGGATCAGAGCATGGCAGCCAGGCCAGTGCAGCAGCAAGGCCAGGCCAGGCCTTCCCGGCCCCGGGTTACCTTTCTCCCAAGACGAAGTCTTCATCCTTCATGACTGGCACCTTCTTTAGCGGGCTTATCTGGACAAACTCTTTGCTGTGGTGTTCAGCTGAGAAAGAGGAGGCAACACAGGATTCTGAATACTGGAACCAGCCCAGTCCTGCCTCTCCCCCAGAGCTGCCAAGGGGAAAGCCAGGCGTGGAGGGTGGGGGAGGCGGACCTTCAGGGAAAGTCCCTATGTGAGCACATAACTTTTCAATGCAATGGAAAGGACAGAAGTCCTGGAGGCAGAAGACTTGGGTGTGAGTTCTAGGGCCAGCAGTTAATAGGGGCGATTGTGGTCAAGCCACTTCCTTTCTCTGACTCCGAATTTCCTCATCCTCTGATTGGGAGTCAGACACTTAGACGACCCACCTCGAAGCCTCGGTGTGAGCAAAACCTCTTTGCAAACTCTGGGGTCCCATACGTTTGGCTTGGAGTCAGGAGGAACCTGGGTTCCTCTCCTGGCTCGGACACTTACTGGCTCTATCACCTTGGCCAAGGGCAGGATCCTCCCTGAGCCTCAGTTTCCTCATGTGTAAAAAGGGGCTAATAAGACCCTCAAAGGGCAGCTGTTCATTCATGTGTTTGCTCCACAAGCACTCATTAAGTGCTTCTTCTGGGCCAGGCACTGTGCCGGGCACTGGGAACGTGCAGACCAAAATGGAAATGGTCCCTGCCTTCAGGAGCAGACGTTCTATTAGGAGGATCGCGTGTTCACAGACTAAACAAAATAGAACCTGTAGGACACACAGGCACACACGCATCAAGACGGGGGGCACTAAGCAGCTGGGGGCTGAGCCCTGAATTTGGTTACAGATTCTGAGAGGCAGGAGAGGAAGGAGAGTGTTCCAGGCATGGGGACAGCCTGGGGAGGTGGGAGATGGAGCTCTGCATATGTAAAGGGGACTTTGGCCTACGCTCATGTCACCTGACCTAACCTGGATCTGCCCTGTCACACGGGTGGCAGCTGCATGGTCAGAACGGAATCTTTAAGGACTGCCATCCTGGGACGTGTACTCTCTTTCCAGCAACATCGGGGGGGGGGGTGAGGGCCCACCGAGAGCTGGGTGCCATAAAGGGACTGAGTAGGGGGAAGGGCTACTTTCCCTTCCTCCCTTCTTCTCTGCCTTATGGCCCGGAGCATCAGGCTGAGGGTTGTGTGTTGACTTGTCCTTTGTGATTCTAGGTACAGACATCAGAAGTCCTACTGGACTTGGGGAGCCAGGGAGACCTTGGAGACAGGGGCCCAGTCCAAATGGTGGAGTCAGTCAGTCCCAGGGCACTTGGGACTTGGAACTTGGGACTGTGGTCCATAGAAACTGAGCTGAACTGTGAACCTAAAGTCCTCCTCTGGCCAGAGACTGAGGCCAGGTGGCAGTGGTGTCCCTCCCCCAGGCATTGGTGAAGAGGATGTTTGTGTATTTCTTCTTACTCTCATCTTGGAAGTAGATATTTCTTTGTAAAAGCTAATCAACTGTTACTGGTGAAATGGAACATTAGTACAGGGGACCCTGGCAACTGGAACAGTTTCTCCAACTGCAAATGGAAGGTAGAGCCGTGACAGCCTAACTTTTCTTCCCAAATCCCCTTAAGGTTATTGGAGAAGCATGGGGGAGGGGGGAAATGGAACCCACCTAACCTCCAGGCAGGGGGGCCAGAGGAAATCTTAAAGCATTATTCTATTTGAGAGCTTTTTCCTTCCCTCTCCCTCAGTCAGGGAATCCACATGAGGCATGTCTCGTAGAGTGAGATGCCAAATTGGCATCTTCTCAGAGGTACAGCTGACTCCTGAACTCTCTGTGACAGCTAATGGTACAGCTCAGACACCTATGGTTACCATTGTTCCATCTTGGGCTCTGTGAGGTCTTTAGGGAGAGGCTGATGGGAAAGTAGAACCCAGAGTCGAGCATGAGCCCGAAGGCTGAGAGCCTCACATCTTCTGGGATGATCAGGGAGTCCTCCCACTCCTTTTCTCTGGTTATTTATTTTGCATTTACATTAATCAATCAACTAAATATTTATTAAGCACAGTGCCTTGACTGTGTTAAGGACTGGAGCTACAAAAACACCCCCCCCCCAAAAAAAGAGATTAAGACAGGCCCTCAAGGAGCTTACACAGAGCCTGGCGCATCATAGATGCTTGATAAATGTTGAATTACAAGGAATCCTTTGGTATTCCAGCTTGAAATTTCTCAGAAATACAGGGGAATGGTGGTGAGGTTTGTCCAGAGACTGCAGGGGAGGGAGGGAGGGAGGGAGGAGAGAAAACCTGAGTTTTCTAGCTGAGGAGGCGTTCCCTTTGGGTACATCAGGGACTGAAGGCCAAGTCCTGTGGGGCTTGGGGGAGAAGAGAAAGTAAGAGGTTAATAGGGGTGTAGAATGACAGCATAGTACTGCACACCTCTTCCTCTTTCATTCCCCCCTTTATAGATGTGGAGTACAAGAACCTAGGTTCAAATCCAGCCTCTTGTATGACTTGTAAGGTGATTTTCTTAACCTCTTCCAATCTGTTTCCTTATCAGTGAAATGAAGTCATTGGGCTAAGTGGCCTCTGAGAGACCTTCAAACCAGAAGTCTCTGACCCTTCACCAAGCCCTTTAGCTGCCTGGAAAATTTTAGTTTTGTTTAGTTGAGTTTTAGACTGGTCCTTTCCCCAAATGGACTCTCTGCTGGTCCCCCCTATTATGAGTCCTCTCCGATGCAGAATTCTAGACTGGTCCCCTCCACCGATGGGTTCTAGGATGAAGGACCCCTTCCTCTGGTAAACTCCACCCCGGTTCCTTGCCATTGCTGGTCCTAGGATGGCCTTTCTCCACTGATGGGTTCTAGACTGATTCCAAACTCCAGATCCTGGCAGTGCCTCCCAACCCCGATTCCACCCCATCCCACTGCCTTAGACTATCCCTACTCGGCCAGCTGGTTCTAGACCAGGTGCTCTCTGGGCTCTCCGGGGCTCTCTGACCTTTCATCAGGTCCACAGGTATCATCTCGAAGGAGATGACGTGCAGCTTGGCGAAGATGTAGAGAGAGCGGCAGGAGGAGGAGAACAGATTCAGGTACAAGTTAAGGACCATGGCGAGAGCTGGAGCCGGGCCTAGGGCTGGGCGATCGGAGTTCAGCACTCGGCTTTGCCCCAGCAGGGCTCAGAATGGGGAGGGGCACGCCCCGTCACCGAGCGGGCGCCCCATTGGAGGGCTGACGACCTCTCCCCTGCCCTCTCTGTGGTCCGGTCTGCTCTCGCTCCTCTGTTCCAGAGTAAGAATCACGAATTCTCCGAATTGGATGGAATCTCAGACAGGAGCTCAGGTACCTGCTGTCTGTCAGGCCAAGCCAGGACAAAGACGAAAGCGAAAAGCTTACTCCAGAGGCGCGGAACCGTAAAGACCATGATTGGCAGGAGGAAAGGAGCCCCGGGATGCAAAAAGCCAGCCCGGAGCCTTGCGAGGCCAGGACGAAGGGTGGCTGCTTTCTTCTGCAGTTTGGAGAGCAGAGCAGTGTCTTCACTGATGGAGAGGAGGGGCTGGGAAGGCGGGGCAGAAACACCACGTTTTGCTTGGCCTAGTACATCTCTCTTCTGGCCTGTCTTCTGTCTATGATGTCATCAAATGGGATGGGAAGAAGGTGACATCCCCCTCCTTACACAGATGGGGAAACTCGTGAATTGTCCAAGGTCACCTAGGTGTGTTAAGCGGGAGAGAGCTGAAGTCTCCTGCCTTCAAGCCACCCCAGTCACTTCACCCTGTCCTCACGTGACGAGCTCGGGTTTGGCCGTACTTATCCCAGTACGGGGTGTCCAGAACTGAAAGCGGTACTCAACTGTAGAGGTGTGGGAAACGATCGATACAAAGACAGTGAGCAAAGCCGTGGGCAAAGCTGGAGACACCAAGGTAAACTTCAAATGTATAGAGGATAAAAGCTTCATTACTACTTGAGAATTTCTTTATGTCTTGTCTTTTTTTTTTAATTTGACTTAATAAAGTCACTTACTTATCCCAAATGACCGCAGCTTCTTTTGATGCAAAGCACTCACCTTAGTTTAGTAAAATGCATGTTTGGATTCCTTAAAAAAAGACAACCAAAACAAAACTTATCTGAAAAAGGTCACATCACAAATAAATTAGAACAAGGAAGAAATTACCTTGGAGATAAATGGTTGGGGAAGAGTTCATGACCAAATAAGGGATAGAGAATTTTATAGAAGAAAAAAATTGCTTACATAAAATTAAAAAGGTTTTGCAAACAAATCAGTGTAGTGAAAATTGGAGGAGAATAGTTAACCTGGAGAAAAATCTTTGCGGAAAGTTTCTCTGACAAAGGTCTCACTTCCAAGATAAATAAGGAACTGATTCGTATAAGAACAAGATCCATTCCAATAGATAAATAGTAAAAACTTATGAACAGGCAGTTTTGCATCAGCACCACTGTTTGTTTTGAACTGCACAGAACAAGATGTTTGCATCCCCACCCCAGCACAGCTCCTTCCAGCTTCCTTTTGCCCTCTCCCTATTCAATTGTAAATTCCTTGAGGGCAGAGACTGTCTCTTATTTGTATCCCCAGGGCTTAGTCTAGTGCTTAATAAGTGTTTATTGTATTATATTTTCAAAGGGAGAAATCCAAACTATTAATAACAGTTGAGAACAAATACTCCAGATCACTATTAGAGAAAGGCAAATTCAAGTAACTGAGGTTCCATGAGCAGATTGTCAATGACAACAAAAATGGAAAATGACAAATGCTGGAGGATCTGTGAATTGGTTCAGTCATTCCAGTGTGTGGGGTGTTTGTGACCCCCAAAACGATCAAATCAGAGACTTTTTCTTAAGAAAGGCAAAAAGGAGTTTTATTGCTTTCTCATGAGAAAGGACACACCCGGCATTCGCTCAAGATGGCTCCAGCGAGGGTGTGCATCTGAGTGTCTTGTACTGCACCATCTAGATACTTTGTTATTTAATAATAAAAACTCACATCCAGACAGTGCTTTTAGGTCTGTAAAGCACTTTACATGTGGTATCTCATTTGGAGCCTCACAAAAGAGGTAGGTGCTATGAAAATGGATACATTACCTTGATTTGCTTGAGTCTCCCAATTATCCCTACCATTATTCAGGGTCCCTGTGTTTCTGGTACAAATCCCATTTGGTCATAATGTATAACCTATATTTATAAAAAAAAAAATAGACAAACCATTGGTTATTTTGATTAAAAAAAGGGAGAAGAAAAGCAAATCACTAGTATTAAAAAGGAAAAGGGTGATTTTATCACTAAGGAATATGAAATTAAAACAATTATAAGGAGTTATTTTACCCAATTACATGCCAATAAATTTAATAATTTAAATGAAATGGAAGAACATTTACAAAAATATGAATTGGCTAGATTATCAGAAGAGGAAATAGAATATCCAAATAGAACTATTTTATTCTATTTGGTGAGGCAATTGAGGTTAAGTGACTTGCCCAGAGTCACACAGCTAGTGAGTGTTATGTGTCTGAGGCCAGATTTGAACTCAGGTCCTCCTGACTACAGGGTCAGTGTTCTATCCACTATGCCACCTAGCTGCCCCTAAATAGATCTATTTCAGCATAAGAAATTGAACTGGTCATAAATGAGCTTCCTCAGAAAAAAGAACCAGGATCAGATAGATGGATTTACAAGTAAATTCTATCAAACATTTAAATATCAACTAATTCCAACATTAAATAAATTATTTGGAATAATAGGCAAAGAAGGAATCTTACCAAATTCCTTTTATGAAACAAATATGATGCTGATACCTAAACCTGAAAGAGTAAAAGCAGAGAAAGAAAATTATAAATCAATTACATTAATGAATATAGATGCAAAATTCTAAATAAAATACCAGCTAAAAGAATGCAACAATATGTTACAAAGAATATACACTATGACCAGTTTTATTTTTTTAGAATCATCCCATCATAATCAACTCAACCCCAAGCCTATACACATGTTTTTTCAAATTTTCTGTTTAGGTCAGAAAGTCCTTTAATTCATTAAATATCTATTTTTCCCTTGCAAGATTACACTCAGCCTTGCTAGGTAGGCTATTCTTGCTTGTAAACTCAGCTCCTTTGCTCTTTGGAATCGTATTTCATGCCTTTCAGTCTTTTAATGTAGAAGCTGCTAAGTCTTGTGTTATTCTGACTGCAGCTTCACAATATTTGAATTGTTTCTTTCTAGTTGCTTATAATATTTTCTCCTTGACCTGCGAGCTTTGAAACTCAGCTGTAATGTTGCCATGAGCTTTGATTTTCCATCTCTTTCAGTTAGTGATTGATGAATCTTTTCAATTTCTATTTTACCCTCCAGTTACAAAACTTGGGGCAATTTTCTTTGATAATTTCTTGAAGTATAGTGTCCTGACTCTTTTTTTGATCATGGCTCTCAGGTAGTCCAACAATTCTTATATTATCTCTCTTTAATCTTTTTTTTTTCCAGGCCAGTTTTTTTTCCAATGAGATATTTTAAGTTCTTTCCTGGAACATGAATTCCCTTTCTCCTCAGGCTTCCCTGGCTTCCTTCAGATTTCAGCAAAAACACCATCTTCTTCAAGAAGGCTTTTTGGATTGTTCTTGAGGATGAGGACTTTCCCTCTGTTATCTACAATTTATCTCATAGTTTGCTTGTTCATTGTTTAAATGTTGTCTCCTCCATAAGACTGTGAGTTCCTCTAGAGTGGGTCTTTTGTTTTGTCTTTGTATCCCCAGTGCCTAGTATAGTGCCTGGTATATAGAAGGCAAGTAATACATGCCTCTTGATTTGATTTTCAGCAAATGAAAACCCTGAGAGACAGTTTCTGGGTAATTAATCATCAATTTATTAATTAGACTTGCTGGCAAGCAAAAAATTGATGGTCAGCAGTTTTCCTTGGTAACCAAAGATGCCAAGGGAGATCCTAAAATGTCTTAGATACCTTCTGAAAGGAAATTCCCCTGACAGGTGAAAATAACCTCGATTGGTGGACATTTAGTGAAGAGGTGGGCTAAAAGTCTTCGGCTTCTCCTGCTGAGAATGTGGCATAATCATAAGACTCAGCAGCTTCCAGTAGTTTGGGCAGGAGGAAGCCATCTCTATCCAGACCTCTCTGTCTGGTTTTCTCTTTCATAAGCTGGGTCACCCTAAAATCTAATGGAGGAGATGAAGGACAGGGGTTCTTCTCTAGCTCAGACTGGATTCTGTTTATACTCTCAACAGAAATTAGGTCCCCTAGTTGGATGGGGTCCCACCCAAAGTTGATAAGCATGTTCCTTGAATGTCAGGGGCAACCTCCTCCATCAGCCATAACCTTCAGAGACTGACTGACCTTAACAGGAGTTGGGCCTTTACAGAAAATAGAAGAGAGAAAAGGTGGATCAGAATTAAAAATTGGTTATTAATATGATAGTATAGTATTAATTTCTCTCAGTTTGGCCTAATATCAATTAGCTTTTCCAGCTTCCTATTTCCCACCAGCTACATTGCTTTAACTCTCCATTGTGTCTCTGTGCCAGCTCTGCCATCTGGGAAAAGGCATTATTAGTGTTAACAGAAAAAGTGTGCTACATCACTGGAAATCCTGCAGAAATTCCCTTTTCAAAACCCATTGATTTAGTTCCTTTTGGCAATTATTTTATGAAGTTTCTGCTGTTTATAGAGAACTGTTATAGATTCTAGTGTACAAATAGAGTTAATATAAACCACAGTTTTTGCATTAGTGGAACTTGGAGTCTGCTGGGGGATGTCACAGGTAACTATAACAAAGTGCTAGGCTCTGATATTTAAGATATATAGGAGAATAATACAAGACCCAGAGACTTTCCTCAATGAATGAGTAGCTAAAGAATATGAACACATAGTTCTCAAAAGAGGGCCAATGGATCTTATTCCTCAGGGGCCTCTCAGGTTCCTAATAGTTTGGGGCTCGCTGGTATAACCCTAGATGCAGGGGTAAGTTACTGGGGAATAAGTACTGTGGGATTCTCTTCCATTAGATTGTGAGCTCCTTGAGGGCAGGAACTGTCTTTGGCCTTTTTTTGCGCTTCCAGCGCTTAGCATAGTGCCTAGCACATAGTAGGCACTTAATATTTATTGACTGACTACTTATATTTTTTTCTTCCCCAAATCCTCAGTCAGAACATTGAAGCCTTCTGTACTTGACAAAGGCATGAGAAATATACATAGGGCTGATGAAGGTGGGAGTATCTCTTGAGGAAGCCTGGCAGCTGCTTGGAAACAACCAAGGTACCACCCAAGAAGGCAGCGATGGGCAAGTGAATGCCATTCCACCTTAACTGAGACATTGCTTGATACAGAGGGAACTTCAGCTCAGTTTGGTCAGCAAGTGTGTTAAGCATGGAACACCACGTCCTGGATTTTGCAATACCTATCTCTGTGTGTGGAAAACAATTCCTTCCCTTGATGGTAGTTGGGGTAATGGGTCATATGACTTTAAGAGAACTTGCCTGTGAGAATATCCCAGGGAGGAGTTCTTTGAGAGGTGCAAGAAAGGGAGAGGGGAGATGTAGGCCTGAAGGACCTTGGCCACTCCCCAAAGAAACAGTGCCCCATTCCAGTGGAGACCCTTGAGTGCATGCAAGAAGTCTTCAATGAATTATTGTCTCATGAGTATATTGTTGAAGGGCAATTTCCACCCAATTTCCATCCAATTCTATTCACTTCACTTTACTTCAATTAACTTGAATTCAACAAAACGTTTATTAAGTGCCTACCCTGGGCAAGACCCTATGATGTGTGCTGCTGCTGCTGCTGCTGCTGCTGCTATTACTACTACTACTACTATTACCACCACACCACTACCTCTACTACTACTACTACTACTACTACTACTACTACTGTTATTATTACTATTGGTACTACTGCTGCTGCTGCTGCTGCTACTACTACTATTACCACCACCATCACCACTACTACTGCTGCTGCTGCTGCTGCTATTACTACTACTACTACTATTACCACCACACCACTACCTCTACTACTACTACTACTACTACTACTACTACTACTACTACTACTACTACTACTGTTATTATTACTATTGGTACTGCTGCTGCTGCTGCTGCCGCTACTACTACTATTACCACCACCATCACCACTACTACTGCTGCTGCTGCTGCTGCTACTACTACTACTACTACTACTACTAGCTATCTAGCTATTTATCTAGCTAGCATTTAGATAGCCCTTTAAGGTTTGTAAAGCCTTTAGAAATATTATCTTTGCAAATACCTCATTTGATCCTCACAACAACCCTGGAGGTGTTATTCTTACCTCCATTTTGTAGGTGAGAAAACCAAGGCAAAGTTAAGTGATTTGCTAAGAGTCAAACAGCTAGTGTCTGAGGCAGGATTGAAACTCTAGGCTTCCTGACTCCAAGTCCGTGCACCATGGCACCTGGTTGCCAAAGACATCAATCGAACAATTCCTGCCCTGGAGGAGCCTATGTTCCTTCAGGTAGATAACATGTGAACGGAAAGGAAATAGAGATAACACCGGGCAGATTGAGAGGGATGCAACAGCAGAGGTGGGGTGGGGGGATGAGGACAGAACTGAGCTTTATGATGTCTACAGAACCTCCAGGTGGAGAAGTCTAGGACTTGGTAGATGGTGGTGCAGCATTCAGCTCAAGAAAGAGAATGGGGTTGGATATGTCACTTTGGGAGACCTGTGCCTGAGCACACAGGAACCAGTTGTCATCACTAATCTAGTTTGAACAGAGCAACGACCCAGGAAAGTGGAAGTGTTCCCATCTTGGGAACTTTGGGGAACTCCTTTTGGAAATAGCAAAAGGGGGATGGGGCCCACTTGGCCTCTTCTGGAAATTGCAGGGCAGGTACATTCTGCTTCTTTCCTACCCACAAGCTCTGTTACCCCCATTGCTTTCTTTTTGTTGCTACTTAGGCTGCTTAAATCAAACCTCTCATCAGCTAGGTGTGGCCTGTCCCCTTGAAGGAGGGAACCAATCAGTTCTTAGAGGAGTCCTGCTATTCCTTCCACTTCTCACATCTTTCCTATTACTCCTAAATGACACCCCCCACCAATGCAACCATTAGATGAGACCCTTAGGTGATGTTCCATGGAGAAGTCTGCTAGCAAAGGCCAAGACTCCTCACTGGGTTGTAGCCCAGACACTGACTCTTTATTAAGAGAAGGATTGGAAGACCATAATCTTTAGGATGTGCAAAATACCCCTAAGCCCTCTGGGCAACCAAAGTCTTCCCACTCCCAGAAGACCTGCCCATGTTAAAAGAACCTTCTCCATTCATTTGGTCATTTTCTCTATCATAATCAGGATCTTCTTTCTCACACTGGGGTCTAAAATGGATACATCCCAATTCCTGATGGTTAGCAGTTTCTCGTGGGCCTCCTGGAATAGTCTGTGACCCACAATTTCCTCTACCCGCAGAAGCCATTCGTGGAGCTTGGGTCTGCCAAGGAAGATATCAAAGTCGGCACCCGATGGCTGCAGACAAACAGAAGGACAAAGTGTGTGGGTTAACTTACCCACATGCCCAACCTAAATCTCCAAATCATTGCCCTTCCACCTCTTTAACCAGGCTCATTGCCACCCAGAGGCCTTGGCTCCCACCCTCTCCTGTGCTCCAAGTTCCCACACCCATTCTTCCATTTATCTTTCATAGCTCAGGTCCCATTTCTTCCAAGAAACCATCTTTGAATTCTGTTATATAAGATAATACTTGAATATTACAGAATCACATGTAATCCCAGCTTCAATAGCTTCTCTCCCATAAAGGCTAAAGATATGTTACTGCATCTTTGGTAGGAAAGAGAATCTTGAGAGACTGGTAATTGAACTGTCCCTCTGGGAAGACTGTTACTTGTCATAGCAGAAGCCACACTGAGTGAGGTATAGAGAAAGGGGATGAAGAGAAACTTCTTTCCTGAGAAAACTCTTTTAATTTATCTCATGAAGAAACATCATAAAAGGAATTCTTGAGAGATTTTGATTGCCGAAAGCTGAATGGTGGAACTGCTTTTGTAGACCTGAGAACTCAGCAGTCACGGTGATGGTAAAGGGGAGGATGGCCCATTGGAGTCTCCAAGGATGGTGGCAGGAACTGAGATGGGTTTCAGGCATTGACTGAGCATCACAACAGGGAACAAAACCCTGATGGATGATGGAGATGCAGGGACAGAGTGCTCCTTAGTTCTCTGTGGTAGGAACTTGGTGCCAGCCCTCCACACCATGCATGCTGGAGTCTTTCCTGATGGTTCAAGGTGAAGGCTTTGACTTGTTTTAACTATGTGAGGAGGTCTCTAGGTCACAGCAACCTAGACAGGCCTTGTGGTGGCTACAGTTCAGTGTGGATGTGATGCGGTTTAGGGGTTCAGGGGTGCTGGGACCCCAAAATCACAAGACTCGGGTCCTGCCCGAAAGAATTCGACCCAAGCCTTCTTTCAGTCAAAGACAAGGTTTTTTAG